GATAGAATAGGATAGGATAGAATAGGATAGAATAGAAATAGAAATAGAATTCTATATTGGCCAAGTGTGATTGGACACACAAGGAATTTGTCTTTGGTGCAGATGCTCTCAGTGTACACAAGGAGAATAAAATACATTCATCAAGAATAAAAATATACAGCACGTAGTGATAGTCAAGGTTACTAATAAGCTATCAAATCGTACTAAGAAACAATAAAAACAATATCAATTGAAAGATATAAGCAACATGGTGGGAGGGAGGGAGGGGTATGCATTAGGCTAGACAAGAATTTGGTGGTAAACTAGAATTATTTTGACATACAAAAAATTGTACTTCGATGTCTTACTGATTGAGGAATGATGAAATGTTTGTTTTAAAAGAAATAAAACTTTGAACACAGAAAAAGAGGTGTGGACTTCAACTCCCAGAATCCCACAGCCCTCTTCTCGCGGTCAAAGGATGTTGTTGTTCCTGCATTGCTTTAGCAGTAAGGTCAACAAAGAGAGCATGCAAATATCTTTCTTGCTGCAAATTTTCGGACCTCGCAGGCTCCCACCAAATGCTGAGGCCTTATGATCAGGTGTCTCTTCTATGGAGATTAACAAGATTTTGGAAGTGGGAGCAGCCAGGAAAGTCACAGAAGGACGGGAAACATTTGAAACCCTCTGAACATAAGGCAGAAAAACAGAAGCCTTTTTCACAAGGGTGGGGAAAGGAAGGGAGGATAAGATTAGGATAGTACAGGCTGGATGTTGGCATTGGAGTGATGCGGTGGCCTAGAGGTGGAGCTCTCACCTCACAACCGGGAGGCTGTGAGTTCGATCCTAGGTAGAGGCAGATATTTCTCTCTCTGGGCACACTAAGAATATATCTGAGCAAAACTCCGCATTGGAGACCGGAAGGGCATCCGGCCAGTAAAAACTCTGCTAGCTCCATTCAATTGCCCAGACTCCATCCCACAAGGGATTATGGGTTTGTTAAACGATGATGGATGTTGGCATTTTGAAAACCAGCTGGCCACTAAAGAATATCAGGAAGGAGATTGGAAGCCTGCCTTATAATTTAAAAAAAAACAAACCTCCTTTCCATTGAAAGCATATAAAACTCAGACTTTAGGCCCTATTTTTGATGAGTGGCGCAAGATATTTGTGCATTGGTTTCATTTGGACTTTAATGCCCTTGGAGAACCTGATTGGGTCTGCGCCGTCCTGTAATATTAAAAAAAAGGAAAGAAATGAGATGGCATATAAAAGAGTTGGCTGTCTTACCCTTCGTCTGTTGATGTCCCAGGTTAAGGGTTAATCCCAGGCTTAGCATTGGAGTCATGCATGCAGTAAAGGTTGCTCTCTTCATCACCGGGCACCTTTGGAAGGGGGACAGAATGCGGGGTGAGTCCGAATCACCTCTTTTTTTTTTTTAACCCCTCTTCCTTTTGTATCGATTGCTTTTATCCACCTGAAGGCACAGCACTCTCAAGATATCTGGACTAGGGTGTCTGTGGCACACAGCTAGGTGGCTGAGAAGGGTGGGAGTTAGAACCCAACAGGCCTGGAGGTCATGCATCTTCGGCAAAGCAGGAAAGCTGGCAGCCTGTTATTTGGCAGGCAACAGTGCCACCTAGTGGCCGAACATCTATCCTCATACAGTACATCAGGTAGATTAGATAATGTACATAGATAGATGGATGGATGGATGGATGGATGGATGGATGGATGGATGGATGGATGGATGGATGGATGGATGGATGATAGATAGATAGATAGATAGATAGATAGATAGATAGATAGATAGATAGATAGATAGATAGATAGATAGATAGAATGCCAACAACTCCATTAAAGA